CTTGGCTACTGAAAGGCGATTCGGAGGGGGTAGACTCTTATTACATACATTCTAATGATATTTTATATTTTTCTGAGGCACATTGTTAGATGAGATATGAGTGAATAGAAGGAACATTGAGTATGAAAGCTAATGGTAGCACTTGAGGTTTGTTTGGTGTGGAGATGCTGGGGACCATTTTCGTGTCTGAGAGCAAATTGTGCTTTTGAAGGGATTGTATAGGGGTGGCGGGAAAGACCTAACCAGGGTGAATTTGAACCCGAAACCGGACCATTGTTACTGGATTGGATAGGTCCGACCCGGACCTGTCTCATTTATAATCAAGGAAATAAATAGCTCGCTAAAGTTGCCGCTATTTGAGAAATAGCTTTTTTTTGGCAGCGTGCCGCTATTTGTATTCATGTACAATTTAGCCGCTAAATCCCGCTAAATTTCCGCTATAGCTCTGCTATAGCTACAGTGCCATAAACGTTTTAGCCTGCTATTTAAAACCTTGTTTATAATGGATATAATGTCTGTTTTAGTACATTGTTGTTGTCTGTTATTGACTTATTGTTGCCTGCCTGTGAAAAACGTGCTTTATACCAGAAAGTGAAGATATATTGTGAAACACAAACTCATAGACACATGAGTGAGCAACCGACATGTAGTTGTTCTCGTAGTATCATTATTTGTGAGTGAGGAATCGAGCTTGTGGTTGTTCGCTGCGCTTTTGTATGTCTCGATTGTCTGAACCACAATTTTGATCTATAAATTCACTTTTACCTATCAAAAAAAAATTAGTCGGGTTGATTATCGGTCATAATAATTTTAAAAGGCCTAAACCTAGGGTTTGCTCCAATTCCTTCTTATCTTCAATCCCAATTCCTTCGTATCTTTAATCCGGAGTGAACATATGTGCAGCCGCCGAACGTAATCCTGCCGTCGCCGCCGTTTGCTATATAATATCGTTTCTTTCGCGATTCGATTCATGATTTGGGAATTATCAATTATGATTATCCCCGTCGAATTTCAATTCTCATCGTCACATGGTATGAAGCTGAGCTATAATCTCCGAGTTTTTGGACCTGGTTTGAATCCTTTTGCCCCCTACAACATGGCCAATCATTCCTCTCGCTAAATTTTACGCTCTTTTTTTGTTTTTTTCGAGCTTTTATATTGAGATAATGTAAAAGGATTTCACATTAGCGAAGCGATTGTCAATTGGTTTTTGTGTCAAGTTTTCTGTCCTGAATTCTGAGGCTATCGTTACAGACAAATATTGAAGATTTTTGTTTTGATTCGAAGGCCCTCGTTTGTTTTTCGTTGTAATCGTAGTGTTCTTCCTTTTACAAAAAAAGGGATCTTCAAGAATTGGAACCTTACCTGTGAAACTGCTAAGTATGTGAGACGGTCTTTAGTCTTGGACTTTGGCCTCTTTTTAGAATCAAAGGGTTGGGATTTGAAGTCTCTAGGTTTGTTACGCATAGCAAAGTATTTGTCTTTGTATATCAAAAGACAATACATTTGTACATATATCTACGCATATATTATCCTTCAATGCTGGAGTTCGAGGTTGAATCTGTTAGGAGGAGCCGAAGGGTGTTTATATCGGGAGATGATAGGGATGATCGAGGCTGGACCTTGCTCCACATCCATGCTAGGAAAGGTGACCTCAGAGGGGTGAGACGGCTTCTTGATGAAGGAATGGATGCTAATGTGGCTGCCTTGGGCCCGAAGTCCCACGGTGTGACCCCTCTCCATCTTGCTGCTAAAGGGGGCTGACCCTATGGGAGTGCAGCCGGAGCGACTGCTCTCGGCCTCCGATTTTGACAGGCCTCCAAATATATATACCCATATACATATATATCCTAATTGGTGGCCTTCTGTTATGAATCTGAGTAAGGACCTAAGGTTGGCAAGGGAATAGGGCAAGATGAAAAGAAGGTTGAAGATGAGAAGAAAGGTGCGATTTTTGAAGATGACGGATCTGCAGAAAAGGACTTCATTGATTTTGCAAATTAGGATTATTTCAGTATTTTTATATTTTTGATACTTGGTCTGTATTTGGGGTTATGTTGGGCTGAATTAATATTGTTAGTGGGAAGATTTTTAATGTGTTTGGGCTTATTGTGTTAGGAGTTAAGTTAGCCCATTATCATTACTGTTAATAGTTTTTGTATGTGGCAGAAAATGACAAGAAATGAATTATCACTTTTCCAACAAATTCTTCTCTCTCTTCTTATTTTCTCTCCCTCTCTCTTTACACGTTTCCACTATCTCCTTCCCCAGGCTTTACTCTCGCAAGTCGCAAATTACAGAAAAATCACAGAAAAATACCAAAAAAAATATAAAATTACAAGGAAACTCAACACCTTCCAGGCCGGTTTTTCTCCCAGTCCCACGCGTGCCTGCTGCGTATCACGTATCTGGTTCTGGAGACGCCGCCGCCGGCACCACCAAGAACACCAGAAGGCGAGGCGATCGATAGACGACACACGCTGAAGCCTGAACCTGAGGCCTAAAGGTAATACTAATCATTCATATTTTTTTTCAATTCAACATTCATTCACATTCTATAGCGAGCAATTGGTCGATCTCTAAGATTTGTTGTTCTGATCTTTTCATCTAGACGCCTACTGCTTGTTCAAATATTGAAGCCATGTCTTCTTCAAAATCAAATCGGCCTAGAAAATTTGAATCGGGTTGGGACAAGCTTAAGAAAAAACGAAGAATAGATGCTTTAGTCCAATCTCAGAAAGGAGTTATAGATAGGTTTGTTACAAAATCTACACAAGTGTCATCTGATAATCCGAGTCCGACACCTGACCATGGGCAAGCAGTTGATAATAATATTGACAGTGATTCTGTAA